TATCAAAGACTAAGTGGTCATGTAGTAGTAGTCATTTTAGGAAAGTTCCTAAAATGACTACTTTCCTAATTTAATAATCGAGAGTTGGTTCATAGAAGCTTACTTCTATGAACCAACTTATTAAGGTTAGATTCAATGTCTTTAACAGCTGTTCCCTGATCCCTCCAATTTTAGGTGTAGTATATAGTGGCACACCGAGTGGATTTAGTCGGTTCGATTCTGATACATCGTCCCACTGAAAACCCCGGTAGGGAGACAGTCTGAGGGGTTTCGATATGCATAAAAAAGTTTCAATTTCCTTGTTACATAATTGGTATTTTGTTGTTTTACATTAACAAATATTACTGAAACAGAAAAATCAGACAGTATATTTTCTATTTGGTACTCGTATTCATTATCATGCAATTAAGCAAGTTTCGTTTCAATATTTTTTTTACTTGCTGACTCACACATTACATTGTTGTGTTGTATTTCCGCGTAGTCTGACAATAGATAAGTAATTCCTTTTTGTAAAAACTACCGGATCTTGAAACTGCGTTATCATCATTGATAATTCGATAAGTAACATATACAGCATATACAGGGTTACTGGGTAAGTCAACCTAAATACTTTAACTGTTGTAGCTGCCATTATTTCTGATAGATTGCACTATAAAATACCATATCCCAAACCTAATCATTTTCAAGATATTGGACTTTAAAGATTTTTTATAAAAATTGCCGAAATTTTGCCTATTTTTTTTTAATAACTTATATCCTTTATTTAATCATTTCCATTACTAAAATTGTACTTAACTTAACCGACTGGGCCGAAGTAGATGGTTAATAATAGCAAAAGGAAAACTTTTTCTTTGACCTATATTTCAATAAAAAACTATGACAGTTAAACTGCAGATATGTTAAAAACATGTAGACCCAGGTATTGTCAGCGACATCTGTGCTAATATGTATGTTTAAAGTAAGATAGTATTACAATACGTCAAACGCCTTCGACAATACCATTAACAATTTTTAAATTTCACATTCTTCTTTATTTTAAATTGTATTTAAAAAAAAACTTAACTATTACGTAAATCATCCAAAACAACTATATAAACTTACTTGTACCATTAGAAATAACGCATTTGTAATTAAATTAGGAAAGGGGAGTTATAGCATGTTTTGCCAAAGAATTCAAATTTTAGTGAGTACTGTATGTGATAGTGGGAAATGTTTTTTTCAAGACGTCAAACATTAAAATATAGTAATTTATGGGTTTTCCGTTCCCCGATAGTCCGAAGTCAAGTCTACGTTCAAGAGACAAGTAACAATCCTGAATTGAACGTAAATAAATGTAACTAGCTTGTTGATATATTTATGAAAACTTTATAAAAAACTGTTTATTGCAAAACTTCTAATCGCAACAAAGCAATGGTCTGATACACAAATTAGAAAAATACAGTCGAATTAAGAACCTCATCTTTTGTGTTTTTGAAGTCGGTTAAAAAGCAGTCTTAATGAAAGTACAGAGCACTCCTAATACTAATGCTATAACACTATAACAGTTGCTTAACAGTTTCATAGATTTCTAAGATATCCTACAATACTTTTAGTAACTAATACCTGAGTAATAAAGTAGTTTTAAAATTGTTTTTTCTTTCTCCTTCGACCCCTTTTTTTTCTGTGCGGAACTCCCCTCGGATACCACCTACCAGTGGGTGATTATGTCGGACTAGACCAAAACCCGCACGCCGTCTCCAGGTACCAGTAGCCGGGGAACCAGGTATAAAGGAAAGCCCTGGTACCCCGACGTACCTCGGGCCATCTAAGGCATATAGATGACCCCTCCTGTATTGGAACCCGGATGTTACCTTTCATGCCCCCGAAGGGCGTGCGCGCTCCGTAGCAGGTCGTGCCACCACCCACCTAGGCTAGAGTGACAGATTGCCCCACCAGGCCTGCGCTTATGGAAAACGGAGGTCGCTCTCCGGGAGAGTTCTGAACCTCTTCCGGTCCCGCTCCGTCATCTCCTTCGCAAGCATAACCTGCTTGCAGAAGGAGACGGCGGAGTTCCACGCATTCTAGCTCCGTACCATGGCGGCAATCATGTTACCGAGCGAGAAAATTCCCACTCCGACGGCCGCCACGAGGCTACGCCTTTGCTACGCCTTTGCTCCACCCACGCCGGGCATTCTGAAAGCGTGTGGAGCGCCGTGTCCACGGTCCGGCCATCACAGTGGTGGCACTCAGGCGTTGGCTCCTTGCGGATCAGATACAGGTGATCTATGAAGCATCCTTTCCCGGTGATCACCTGAGGGTTCCGTGATGCCTCTCGAGCCAATCCTCCATAACGGGTCTTACCGCCGCGATAACGGCGTGCCCATCTCCTTCGACCCTAGCCATATTAAAAACGTATTTTGTGACTAGAATGCACAAAGATAATCAAAGATTGACATAGTGTGAAACATACCCATTATAAGGTAAATCCGTTAGAAGAAGATGTACGCGGTTTTACTACAAATATTAGTTATCTAATGCGCAAGGTCAAGGTATCTATATTTTTGTTCTAATATAGAGTGACCTTGATCTTATGCATACGCAAAGGTATGTGTTTATCTATATATGTAAATATTTTATAAAGGATAGTACTGATAAAGACGGTGCAAAAATGTTATACAAATAGCTTTGACACAAAAAATGTCTAGGTATATTATTATCTATTTGACTGGTATGTTGGTCTAGTCACTAGGGCAATAGACACTGGTCTATTGCCCTAGTGACTAGACCAACATACCAGTCGAATTTAGTGGTTAGTGACTGCACTAACCACTAAATTCTAGTGGTTAGTGACCCTAACTGCTACGCCAGAGGTCGTGGGTTCGATTCCCGCCCAGGACAACTAATTGTGTGAACATAGTTTCCAAGTTTTGCCTACTTTACCACGCTGGCTAGATGGGTTGATGTAGGGTTTCCAAGAGGCGGCGCGCCTGGCCACAGGGGGAGTCTCCCTGGTGGTCGGGCGCATTGAGGCGCTGGGCTTACGGGTGGCCCTAGATAAGACGGAGGCCCTGTTATTTCATGGGCCCCGTCGTGGTCCACCCCCTGGCGCCTCAATCGTGGTCAACTCGGTCCTCGTACCGGTTCGGGCCCAGATGAAATATCTGGGCCTGATCCTCGACGGGAGGTGGCTCTTCGACGAGCACTTCCGACAGCTTGCTCCAAAGCTGGTCGACGCTGCGTCTGCCCTTGGGCTGACTTCTACCCACTCTGGGTGGACCGAGCGTCGCAACGAGAACGGGTTTCCACACGTTAAAAAAAAAAGGGTTTGTTGTCAATATTTTATTCTCTTTGCAGGGCTGAGTTGTCCTACGTAGTTTGTCCTCTTACGACACTAAGAATAGGGGTGGTGACACTCCATATTTTTAATCCGTCACAAATAACTTACCTATTAACATTTGGTTATGTAAAATATTTTTTCAAAATCCGCTTAAAAGTATGCCTTCGATATCGATTATATAGGCTTCTGGAACTTCAGTAATGAAGATATTTGTAGTAATTAAACAGAAAATACTGTCAGTCAACGCATTTTCTAGTCATGGACGGTAATGTTCTTGTGAGTTTAAACTCCCTACACATATTAAAAATAATAATAAACAAAATGGTTATAAATTAAGGTAGATTTCAATAGATATCAAGGTCGACTGGGAGAGAATGCGCTGGGTATTAAGTGCGCCTGTGTACAATTTGCATTAAGTTTAATTTAAGTTTAAAGGCAAAAATCGTGCTTCAAAGGCAACTAGGTTTAAACTTCACATGCTTTTATATTTCCGTAATCGAAGAATCGGATTTGACATGTAGTAATCTACATATATTATGACATAGATCATTCTTATCATAAATCCTTTAAAGAAACAAGTTGAACTAAAAAAATAAAGGTCAAGGATTCTTTCATCATCACCTCAGCAACATGACATAACGACTACTAAACGCAAACACCTATAAAACTAGAGAAATAAGCTAAAACACGTTGTCGGGGCTGTAAAATTTGAGGGTTTCCCTCGATTTCTCTAGGATCCCATCATCAGATCCTAATTCGGTGGTAATGGGACCACTTCGGCAGGATACCTTTTCGATTACAAAAAGAATTTAGCAAATCGATCCACAATTGAAGGAGATATCGCGTAACAAACATACAAAAAAAATACAGATGAATTGATTCCCTCCTCTTTTGTGTTTCTGAAGTCGGTTAAAAATTGTAAACAACACAAGCGACACGATTTGTTATCAATTTCATTTATTTATTTTAGTTTTTAACATTAAAAGTTCAAGGTTTTAAACTTTAAGTGCAATTTATGCCTGTTTGTAATTTATATGTACTTTTTGTAATAGTTCAGTACCAACTTGTGGTACTACACCTACTGTTATAGAAGACTTTAGTTTAATCAAGTTACAAATTTAGTTTTTGTTCTTAAATGTGCTAAGTTTCTGATAGTCTAATCAAAAATTTCTCTTGTTTAGAAATAACCTTACTTACTTTAGAAAAACGTTGATCTGTATATTCCAAGGTTCTTAATTATTTACAAGTGTTCAACAGTAAACACAAAATACAGTTAGGCAGGACAAAAACTCGTGGTGTACGATTAGATGAAATTTCTTTTTGCAATATACAAATACAATATTTTCACTCAATAGTGTTTCCAAAAAAAAACCTGAAATTAATTTTAAAATGAACCCTAAGACCCTTGTGGTAAACTGTTAAAGTTGGTAATCGCAATTTTATGTTTAATTGAAGTCGTTATTTTTTTAAATATTTAGACTTATTATGTAGTTAGCAGAATTTTAAGGAGGAAAAAAACATTTATATTGAATTGCGTTAGTATTGTTATTCCACGTCCAAGATATTTGAACAGGCCGACAGGTTATCAGCTGTCGTCTGTATATAAGACTGGCAGCTGAGATTTTCGGACAATCATTTATCAGTTTTGTACAAATACGGTCATCTGTGATATTTTTAACATAAAATGAAGGCGTTTTTGGTAAGTGAGCAATTTTTTTGTTCGATGTGTCTACCATTGTTAGCACTCACTTGTTTAAATAAAATTTCATAAGAAACGCAATACTTCGCGATGTCGTCATCATCGACCTGAATTGGAGTTTATTTTTTTAACGAGCTTAAACAAGGTAATGTTATTATCTTTACTGACTTTAAGGGATTACTAAAATTACATAATGTAATATAAATTTTAGAGCGACCACACATGAACTTAAGATATGAACTTTAATTATGCTATCTATAATAGTTTTAGACGTCATCTCGATACATGCCACCGCATCGAACTGTTGTAGATTTGACAGAAATAATAAAAACTCGCTGGATTACATTTTTTAAATTCTTGTTTTATTTAGTGAAGGTCAATATTACATAAATAATAATTAATATTCCATAGTCAGTATTAAACAGACTATAACAATAGAATAGGCTTAAGCACGGACGATGTTTTTTTTATTAGTACGTCGTTGGGCACCCATGGGCAAGATATCTCAAATTTATTTACATATCCTTGATTTTCGAGCCTGGGTGTCCTTTGGAATCGTTGGTATTACTATTTTTGTTAAGTTAGAAGCGATACATAGGAGTGATTGTGTATTAAGTATTCAGATTTATCTTCTTAAAAAGATACGTACCGACATAATACGCATAGTAAAAATATAATTACCGTCTAATAATTTCAATAAAAGTGTCGTAAGAAGCGACTAAGGGAGCAAACTACGCAGGACAATAGCACTGCAAAAAAAAGGAAAACTTAGCCTAACTTAGAAACCCCTAAGGCCAAAACCTAATTTCTAAGGAGAGGCCTATGTCCAGAAGTGGACTATTAAAGGCTGTTGATGATGATGATGTTCAAAAAATGGGCAGGCTCTACAGGAGTGATACCAGGATTCGACAGAAAATCGGCGTTAAGAAAGTCTTTCGTTCCTTTTCACTACGTGTGTGAGATTACCAGAGCCCAAACCCCTCTTCAACCTGTTTCTGGAGGAGGCCTCAACGTTCTTGTGACTCTAATTGCAGGTGTTTATAGGCGCCGATAGTTACTTATCATCAGTTGAACCGACTGCTCGTTTGCCCTCCTATATTTGAAAACAACAAGAAACCTTAAACTCCGTTTGAAAATGGCTTGAAAATGGGCTATATATGACGGAGTATACATAAAAAAACAGCCGAATTGATATCCTCCTCCTTTTTTAAAAATTTTTTTGGGGGAGGGGAGGGATTGAATAGAGTTTTTAAAGTCGGTTAAAAAGAAAAGAAATAAAGGTGCAGTGAAAAATCTTTGGCGCATCTTAAAATAGCAATATGTGCAAGTGCGTTTCAAAAATGTTTTCTTCTTAGCTTTTGTCTGTATACATGTCTACCTAGGAACGACGTAGGTAGGAATACATAAGAGGTAGACAGACATCTGTTTTATCTGTAAATAAGGTAATTCGTTATGTTCAAATAACACGGTAATGACACATACACAATAAATAATTAAATGGTTTACTTAGTTAAATAGCACATCTGTTTCTTTAAACAGATGTGCTATTTAACTAAGTAATAAATATGTTCTCAGACTTTTCTGAGAACATATTTTGTTAATATTTAAATGTTAGTTACCAACGAAATTTCACTGTCATTCACTTAACCTACTTTTTTTTCTAGAACAGAAGGACAAACGAATAGACGGGTCATCTGATGGTAAGTGAGTCAGTTCAAGAGTCACAATTGCGTTGAAATCTATTCAATCCCTCCCCCCAGAATCAAGGAAAGGGTTTGTGCCAGTATCCGCACTAGTTCGGCGAAGAGTAACGAAAGAACTGCTATTAAGCAGAAACCTGTATTAACTATTAACTGGTTTTCTGTACGGCCGTGGTATCACTCCGGTCGAGCCTGGTTCATATGTGGCGAAGCATGGCTCTCCCACTAAAACCTATACTAGTCAGCGCTGTTTAGATTGTTTCAACGCGCTAATCTCTGGAGCTACCAGGCGGAGGAGAATAATTATTTTCGTGTTCGATAGAATATTTATTAAAGAATAATATAAGTTTTAAAAGAATACGGTTTCACCCTTAGCTAATGAATGACTATTAATGCAGGGATAACTGCAGAGACAGCTATTTATTCATAGTTTGAATACGAATTTGGCCGACATTGTCTCGTCTATGTTATTTTCTTTAGGCAATGAAATATACTTAAAAGAATTTTGCTCTAATGAATGGATGCATATTGATGCATTTTTTCACTCCGCATTAAAGCAATGTCGCTCCGATACTACTCGTAAGTGATGGTATTACACAAGATTAGATGAACTAATTTGCTGGCCTACGGTCTTTACCAGCTAACGTTATTTAATTATTTATCCTTTATTACAAAATTCATTGCGCGTTGCAGGTGAAGTTATGGTTCTGCATATTTTCGCTAGGTGGCGGTAATTCGCTACATGTAAATGTTACCACAAGCTATTATTAACTAAGACTTTTTTATTTACAGTTTATGCTGTTCGCGCTTTTTGCCATTGCATACGTTAATAACGGTAAGACTCGTGAGAAATTATGATCATTTATTTCATTTTCACAAACAATATCATTTCTGGTATTAGTTTATTGTCCTTGGTGATTACTAAACATTGCACCTAATGCTTTTTTAAACTTAGCTGTTACGTGTTATGATACCACGTACATAATTAGTTGATTAACAAAAGTTTTGACTGTACTTAAAAAAGAAATGACACTGATATAGCTTATGAAAACTTATTTATGTTGACTAGTTTTTGTCCGTGACAGTACATTCTGGATGAAGTGCAAAGGCATGATAAGAGAATAAGTAAACAAACTAACAAACATATATATTGTTATGACTTTGATAGCATTTGTAATCCATACTTCCATACTTATATTATAAATGCGAAAGTGAGTTTGTGTGTTACGGCCTAAACTAATAAGCCACTTTTAAAAATTCTTTCACCCATGGAAAGCCACATTATCAGTGAGTAACATAGGCTACTTTTTAACGCGATAATAATATACGCAGGCGGAGCCGCGGGAAAAAGCTAGTATTGAATAAAAAACCAATGGCCTTTTGTTATGCTTTAGTAAAACTACTATTTAATTACCATACAATAGGTTTTTTCTTACACAAGTTTAAGTTTTTATTCCAAATTATTATAGTCGTTTACATTATTCACAAACAACGTCCATTAAAAATAATCGACGTTGTTTTTGATTACGGTAAGTGAATATTAGGTAAGTGTATTGTGAAACGCGGAAGCTGACCCAAAGAGGCAAAGACAGTTTAGCAGCATTTGAAATTTGGTGCTGGAGGCGAATGATTAATATCAGTTGGATGGGCAAAAGGACCTATGAGGAGGTCCTGCGAATGGTGAGCGAAGAAAGGCAATTGTTGAATACCATTGAAAACAGAAGAGGCAAAATGGTTGGCCACCTCATAAGACACGACAACTTCTTCAGAATAATACTGGAAGGAAAAATAGAAGGCAAGAGAAAACGAGGACGGCCAAGATCAACATACATATAGCAAGTGACAAGCTCCACCGACAAAGGCTTGGCTCTTAAATTAAGAGAGAGCGGGAGAGTATTCTGAAATTTCGGATGTAAAGACACATTGTTTTTTTTTTTTGTAATGGGCGAGAAAACGAGCGAACAGGTCACCTGATGGTAAGTGACTACCGCCGCTCATTGCCACCAAGAGTTACAAGTGCTTTGCTATCCTTTAAGTCCTTCAAATTCGGGAGAGGCGGGTTTAGGCTACGGTCTTTTGTGAGGCCATGGTACATACTGCGGTCGCGCCTGGCCCATTTGTGCGGCAACACAGCTCTACCACGGTCACACTTACACACACATACACACCCAGAAATTCATAGATTTTCATAAGGAGCGAATAAAATTCGTTTTAATGAGTTTACTGTTTTGTGTAATAGAAATTTAGATCACTCAACTTGTGCTCTAATGTAAAATCTTCATTGAAATAATGATTTTCCATATAGACTGACGGATGTTTTCATAACTCTTAAAATTATAATATATATCACTAATGCGTAAAAAAAAAACACTATGTTGAGATGTCACTCATAACTTATGTTCTTCGACTAATATCTGAAATGTAGTTGGTATCTAAGACCATGTTTATTATTTAAAAATGTTTAAGATGCTGCTCTGTAATTTACGCGCGAGTTTAATTGGCTATTAAAAAAACTTCATTTTATTTATTTTTTCAGCACCCGCCCCTTGCAATAACCGTCCTGATCCAGGTAAGTTGAGATTAAGATTAGTCTTAAGTAATTCATGTGACTAACCATATGTAGAGTAGCTACCTGCCTACTAAATTCTAAACAGAAAATCTTTAGAACTTAGTTTTTGGAATATGTTAAAGGTGTTTCAATGTCATAATGCAATTCAAAACTTCCGTCTATTAAAGATTTCAAGTCTTTTCTAAAGTAAGTTTAACGCATTTTCTTAATAATTATTTATAGGTCGTTTGAGATTTCGGTGATTAAATATTAGAGAACCGTATTCTGAGATTTTAGAGAATTATAGACGAAAAATCTTTAATGATTTTCTGTGAATCTTCTACGTGAATAAAAAATCATTTTTTTTTCATTTGCGTACAAGCACAGGAAATCTTTTATGATTGCAGGCAAGAATTAACCTCTTCCTCTAGCCATGTTGAGCTTAATTATTCAATAACTTAGCCTTTCCACTGGTGTCAGAGGAGTTGTGTTTTATTTACGCGGCTTTAAACACGTTCAGTTCTTCGAAAATGAGCGAGATCGCTAATATAAACTTGTGACTAACCCAAATTTAATTTTAATTGTTTTTAGTAAACGTTGTGGACAACAACCGTCCTGATGCAGGTTAGTTGATATTTATTTTTAATTTTATTCATGTTTATTGACATTTACAGTCAGAAGATCAATTCTCGTAAGTATTATTAAGGTTACTAGAATACCGATGAACTTTCGGTTATTATACGATATAATCATTTACAGTCAGTTTGTGTGATCGAGAGTATATCGGTACTGAATTTTGATTGAATTTTTATTACGAGAATCGACCTTCTGTATGTTTCAGTTCTTTATCAATGTAATTTTTTATTAACCCGGCTTGATGCAATTTTTTTATTAGGAGCCAGATACCGATGTAATGGTTTTAGTAATATAAATAATACAATATAATATTGTATTTATGTACATTCACACAACGCCATCTAGTGCCAAACTAAGCAGAGCTTGTACTATGGGTACTAGACAACTGTTATAAATACATATATGCTTTTTTTTTTGTAAATACATACTTATTATACATAGAAACACCCAGACCAAATCAAAATGTTCATGCACACAAATGTTTGACTTGAGCGGGAATCGAACCCGCGACCTTTGGAATAGCAGTCCGTTACACAAACCACTACGCCATTCGGTAATAGAGTAAATCTTGGCTTGTTTTACAATAGTTTGAAAAAACGACATGTTAGAGAGTATTCTAAAATATTTTTGCAAAAGGAAATGGTTTCATTTTCTTGTTGATAGGAGTATGTTGCATCAATAATTATATTGTTGATTGAAGTTGCTAACAAATGCCTACTTTTCTTTCTTACTTTCAAACGTTGTGAGTCCAAATGAATTTAAGTTAATGTTTACTCACCCTTGTTCCTAAATCACTTCTGTAAGAAAAGTTTAGCGTACGATAGTCAAAATAATTGGGATGGGTAGTATAGTAAGTAAGAGGCTCTTAAGTCAAATCTGCTTTCATTTACTTTTTCAGTTCTCGTAGCGGATAACAATCGTCCTGATGGAGGTAAGTTAAAATTTTATTAGTATTTACATTACTAGTATTTACATACTTTTTGAATTCTGTATGTATTTCGACGACTATATTATGTATGTAAAGCACACCTCCCCAAGCTCATTCACAATTTGTCTGTCTGAGATGTTTTTCAAAGTATATTTTTGTTATTTCGGGCAACGTGTCCTAGCAGAAAACTTACTTGTTAGCGAGCTCCTTATAGTTTCGCTCGATAAACAAAAACATTATTTATGTAGTCATATTTGAAACAAAATATAGGCTTTACTAAACCTTTGAACCTTATAAAAAACTCATTCTGTGTTAGGAGCCTACTAATATTGTAATGGTCTCTAACCAAATTATAACTCCGTAATAGTTCTATTGTTGTACATGTTTGTAAAATAATAGATTGCCTAAAAAATTTGAAAATGTCAGACGCAATATAAAAATCAGTCTCGATTTTCCGGGAACATTGAATGAGTTTAAATTAATGTTTATTCTCCCTCCTTAATCGGACGAAAGAGTCAAAACAGGATACAACTGTCTGTAAGAGAACCGATGAGTACGATTCCCGTTCGATATCTATATAGGATACTTTGGAAATGACTAAGATTGGTAATATACAAGAAGGATGCTCTTAAATATAACTTGCTATTACTTATTTTTTCAGTTCTCGTAGTGGACAACAACCGGCCTGATGGAGGTAAGTTGAAATTTTTTGCTGTTTTTTACTAATTCACATAATTGATTATTTATTTGAAGAATTTGTCTATGTCATGTTTAGATTTTTGAATTGAAATTTTCGTCATTATTTTGAGGATGTATTATTGTGCGATTAAATAGTGTTATATGTAAGAATATGAGTGTATACACACGTATTACCTCTTTCTTTTATTTGTACCGGAAAAGTATACAATAGTGGCCTTATCAAATATTTTGCAGTTCCTGATATCTTGCACAAGATAACAGACAACTAAATTATTATTTGCGTTTATTACGCTGTCGAGAAAGAGTTAATGTGAAATAAATTCAGACTTGGGCCACAGATATATTTATTAGTAGCTGGCTAGTTTAACTTCTGATAGTAACTTGCTTATTATTCATAACCCATTTTAATGATTTAAAAATATACCTAACTTTCTATTGTTTCAGTACTTGTCGTAGACAACAATCAGGGTAAGTTATTTTGTTATTTTTCACCTATTTATTGATAGATTCTCTTAGTTGGTCAGTCCAATTTTGTATATATTTATCTTCAACTAGTGTTGCACAATGCAAGACAAAGTTGGACGGCCAGACTTAGTATTCGTCTATTGTCAATGCACCTGGTGTTGGTACTTCGTTCTAAGCTTTACTCTTGGTGTCGGTCTTGCAGTAAGAGCCTTGTACCATTTTTTTTGTTGACGGTGAACAAAATCCCTTCGGATCCCTGCTCCTCGGGACTTAGGAGCCAGGAGTTATTATTTCAAGTCCCCCCTATCCCAGGGGAAGGGGAGCTTTGTACCTAAATGTTTCAAGACCCTCGAATGAAGTGAATCATTCATTCATCTACATGGACGATTTTGTCATCAATTTAGAATATTGAGTATCTACTCGTACTCAGCAGTAAAATATGTTACTTCGCTATCCCTATTGGCTATGTATATAGAGTATGATAAAATTTGTAAAAATGTACTATAATAATATGAAAGTTTAATAAAAAAAAACAAATTTTAATCATTATCTATTTAAAAAAATATTAAAATTTGCCTTACTAGGAAAACATTCGTAGGTATTCTTATTAGACTTGCAACGAATAGTATATTCGGCAGTATACCGAATACCGAATATTCGGCGAGGCCCCTGACCGAATAGCCGAATATTAGGCAAAAGTATTCGGCTGGATTTTAGCGCCAAAAACTTGTACAGACGTGAATTAAATTATGTACCTGTTTTATGTACCAATGACTACTTAATAAATGATTATAAAAGAAATGAGAACCTTACCCTTCTAAATGTTGATTACCACAATAATTCAAATACATAGAATCCTCCATTTTTCCTATTCAGAAGATGATTATGTACCTGTGTTATGTACCAATGACTACTTAAATGATTATAACAGAAATGAAAATATGAATATATATGTAATCAATCGATTTTAATTTTTCATTTTACCAATTATTTCTCAATTACAAAATATATTATTTAAGTATTCGGTATTCGGCCGAATAATATGTAGATATTCGGTATTCGGCCGAATATAATAAAAGCAGCCGAATAGGCCGAATACCGAATAGTAACCGAATATTCGTTGCAAGTCTAATTCTTATCCCTTTTGAGAATCTGAAACTGTCAACTGTCTGAACTGATAATGTAATATTGTTTTCACGACAGACAAATCTACTTTTGTTAGTAAAAGATTTTAACTTAGAGAAGTTGTTACTAAGAATATACCGATAAGTTGCACAGGATACATTCCTAGCTCAGGACTAATTAAATAATTACTGATGTCATTCGTGTTCGACTTTCCTCTCAATTATTTAATTTATCAAAACATTTTGATTTCAGCTGGTGGTCAAAATCCCAGTGAGTATATTGTTATTACATTTTTATTTCAATTATAGTGCCCATGATGCTAAATGGGGATTTACTCGAGCGTCTTGGGGACCTATTGCATTTGAAAGATTAGGTATAATGAAATTAGGTATGATGAGATTATGTATGATATTGTACAAAATATTATACTGTCTGACGATTTTAAAGGCTCGTAGCGAATTTTCGAAAATGCAAACTGCAAAGTCGAAAAATCGCCATTTGGAAAAACCCGAGCGTGATAGATTTTATAAGGACGATTCAACTTGTTTTCCTGTTATGCTAGCCAAAATTTGACGATAATTTTGCAGGGTATCTTAAATAGGAGGGTTAGAGTCAAATTATTAACACATTTAGAGAAGATTTCTTGTAGTGATTGCTTTAAAATAAAAATAAAAGGTCATGTGTTTATTTTGCTACATTGTGACCCTCCCATTGCCTTATGTTACGCATACTAATGTGTATGTAATTAACCCAAGATACCTTAATCTTACACGTCCGAGTATTTCTAAATATCGTTTTTTTTCTAACTAATCTGCTAGGCTGCCCTAGACGCTCCCCCCTATACGGCTCATGTATGGTGGAGGTACTCAACTTAGTGTAAGGTATTCCTCCTATCTTAATCTGACACACTCGAATAAAACCCCGAAATAACCTTCTAGGGCTCCCCTTTTTTTTTTTTTTTTCCGTGCGGAAATCCCCTCGGATACCACCTGTCGGTGGCATGTCGGACTCGAACCGACTAAAACCGCACGCCTTCGCCGGGTACTAATAGCCGGGGAACCAGGTATACCCTAGAAAGGAAGTCCCTGGTGCCCCGACATACCTCGGGTCATCTACAGACGAGTAGACGACCTCCCCCCCGTGTGGGAACCCCATGTTCCCTGTGCTCCCTGGAAGCGAGCGCGCTTCGCAACGCGCTCGCCGCCACCCCGGCCTGCTTCTGCTAGAGTGACAGATCTAGGGCTCCCCTACTATTATATTTTATTAGTTTTTGCCCACGGAGTGTATTTCGGGTAACGCGGTAAAAAGTAGCTTATGTTACTTGCTGATAATGTAGCTCTCCATTGGTGAAAGAATTTTGAAATCAGTTTACGTTTACACTAACAAACAAACAAACAAACTCACTTTCAAATTTATAATATAAGTATGACTTTTCTTCAGAAAAGTAGACGGTTAACCATTATTATTTATTATATTCTATTCGTCCGTGGTCCATGTGACCGTGGTCCGTGTGGTGACGGATCAAGAATACAGAGTGTCACCACCCTATTCATCCCGTGGGTGTCGTAAGAGCCGACTAAGGGAGAAAACTACGCAGAACAACAGCACTGACAGTCAAGACTTCCTTTCTCTCCTTAGGATTCTCTGCCTATGTCCAGCAGTGGACTATTAAAGCTGTTGATGTGATGTTGATGTGATATTCTATTCCGCCTTAATTATAATTACATTCCATAAACACAGTATCTTTAGCGTACATTGTGATAACCAAAGTGCTTTTGTTTTTACTTATACACTTATTGTTTCCCAACTCTTCAAGCAAAGTTTGCTGGATGAATACGAGTATTTGTTGTTTTTAATTGTTAATTAATCTGCATAATTATTCTAAAATACTATATTATTTAAAGCAAGCGAGTGTAAAGAGTAATAAAAAAAATTCATCCTGATCCTGATCCTGATTTTAGACATTAATTGAGTTTATTACGATTTTTGTTTGAATGACTCAGAAGTAAAAAGAACGAAAAAATACTAAATCAAAATTAAGGCATACTTAATTTTGATTTGATGTGATCAGTTTTTTACGTAATGTTTTCTTTTGTTCACATCTACTTCTATCTGCACACGAAAACTATCCGAATGGGCAAGCAGTTCCACAAGAATGTAAGTATACTTTTTATCGATGTTCTAAGTAAATATAGTAAACGTGTCTCATATAGCAGTAATTAACTATGAATGTTTAGGCTGATTAATTTTCACCATTTAAAAGTTATCTGTCAAATAAATTGTTTTATGTGTAAATGGTATTATCGTGCCCAGGATGTAACGTACCATGTGGATCACAAGCAATAGCAAAGCACAGATAAGCCTCATTTTTCAACTATCGCGTTTCATAATCATAAATAATTATGTTTATGGGTATTAATTATAGAATAATTTTAGATACGACTCCTTTTATAATTGCAATTTGCTATTAAACCAGGGTCAAGCCAACTCTGAATTAATCTGTAAAGTCTTTACGAACAAATTTAAATAGGTTTGTTTTTTCTCTATTTATTTCTATGACTTAGTTTAATGAATATTTGTAGTAATATAACTTTTTAACTATTATATCAGTTAGGTACAATGATTTAATTTATGTTGTTTTAAAGGTTACGTAACTCTTTTTCTACTTACAGGGCTCCGTGGGGGAAAGTAGAAGAGATTACAGATGAACAACAATTAATTTAAGGCTAGCATAATAAATTAAATTTTATATTACTTATCTTTTTTTTTTATTACATATATGAATTTATATTCAAAGGTATGCATAATATTTATAATCACACACTAAGGGTATGCATAATATTTATAATCACTTGCACGATTTGCAATCCTTTTTTAGCGTATACATCGCCAGACCTTGTGGGCTTGGGGTGACAGACTGATTTGAAGCTTAGGTACTAGCAATTAAGAGCAACTTATAATTATAATAAATTCTCAAATTTTGAGAGTTGTACACCAAGAAAACAAAATATACAAAAACAAATAAAATATTAGGTCTTTACCTAATTGCCGTTTTGTATGCAATAAGTGAAAGTACTTATTTTTTCAAACTTTTTTATTTCTGTTATTCGAAGTAATCACCCAAGCAATCGACGCATTTTTGCCAACGCATTGGCAGTTTATTGATGCCCTTCTTGTAAAAATCAGGTGCAAGGTTTGGTGAGTATGGCGGATGAGGGAGAGCTTCCAACCCCAGCTCTTGCAGCTTGGAGACTGTCTGTTGCGCAGTATGGGGTCGCGCGTTGTCGTGACGGAGCAGTGGGGACGACCGATTGACCAAAGCTGGTTGCAGATGTGACCACCAGACCTTGCACCTACCGACTATTACTTTTTCCAAAATTAAGACAACTTTTTAGTGGGTAAAAAAAACAATTCCCGAGAGGCAGAACAAAATGCCTTTGAAGAGTTTGTTGCCTCCCGTCCAGCTGATTTTTACAAGAAGGGCATCAATAAACTGCCAATGCGTTGGCAAAGATGCGTCGATTGCATGGGTGATTACTTCGAATAACAGAAATAAAAAAGTTTGAAAGAAATAAGTACTTTCATTTATTGCACACAAAACGGCAATTTCATAGGTAAAGACCTATTATAATAACGCAACGCAATGGACAGCCTTATCGCAAAAAGCGATATCTACCAGGCAACTTTTGTATGGGCAGGGCTCCATAGAAAATATTTTTTTATGGTTACGGTGCGTGGAATACATAATAATTTATAGTCTTGTATAAATGACTATTTTTCACCCTATATTAGTGTTATTTATTTCCACAATACATACAACTTTTAATTCGACAATACTGAGTATACTGGGTTAAGTCTATGAAAGTACTCAGAGCAACCGTGAAAAATTGTCTGTGAGTATAGGGTAGATCTTTGTTAGTCAATGGTTATGTCGGACTCTTACCGACTAAAAATAGCACGCCATCTAACGTAACAGTAGCAGGGGAACCAGGTGTACCCTAGGAAGGAAATCACTGGAACCCCGACGAACCCGGGCTATCTACGGCATGTAGATGACCCCGTAGTGTGTGGGAACCACTCTGTTCCCGTTCTACAAATTAAAGTTAAAAATTAAAGGGCGCGTCGCGCCGCCAACTCCGCCTGCTTCTGCTAGGGTGAAACATGGCCTCACCTGTCACCCCCAGGCTTGCGCCTATGGAGCACGGAGGTCGTTCTGCCACCTCCGATGCCTGAGTCGTCTCTTCCATACCTCTCCTTCATTTATAGTATTGAGTAGTCGAGTGAGTCAGTTGTTAATTGCCACCACATTAGAAGTTCCATTATTACTTCACGTTAATACTCAAGAACTTTTTGACGTGACAACGTCTTATAATTCGATGGAGCCGGCTGCACGCACGAAAAAACATGACTCATGCGGCGTTACCTCGCTCTGAGGCGTTCCATTTAAGGCGTGAAGTGCAAGCGAGAGCCCGGAACGAGTGACAAAGAGGCACAATCGGCCTCCGCGTTCGGCAGCGTTCGACATCTGTCTCTCTCCTACTTGAGTGAGCGATGCGTCCGCGTGGACAGCTGCTACTCGTATACAATAATACATTTTTGAAAAATGCAACCATTCCATCAGTATTTTCTTATGACGTTGTCACGTTCCACTATCGTCAGTAAACCGACTTTACAGACAACCGTTTTTTTATTTCGTAATTTGTTTCAATGAAATTACCTGGCATAAAAAAAATCAACGTATCCCACGTTTTCTTGTTAATTACATTCACATTAATGATAAATCCGGGTAAAAAAATATTATTAATAGCAGATGCCGCATATGTTTAATTGGCGAGCCTCTTATCAGACGGAAGCAACATATGAGACGTTAATGATTTATTTTATTTATTTTTTCTTTATCAAAACAGCCTCTGGCCACTTACACTAATTAAGATAAAAACGTTAATACAGAATAAACAATACTTTACAACAACTTTATCTATTTACAATACTAAACTACGCTCCTTCTAACACACAGACTTCTCGCAGTACACTAGACACACTGGCATAATGGTCTGCCATTCATCAAGCGCCCGGGGACAGGGGGAATGATGATGACTGACTGACTGTAATTATTTACAGAGAATAAAATAATATGAATATTAAACTAGTTCTACTTACAGTAATAATAATATGTGTTTAGCCTATACCTAATGTAGTATAGAAGTGAAGTTTTTAACAATACACCTTGTATTGTTAAAAACTTCACAATTCTCAAACACAAAACAAAGCTTACTAAAATTAAGACTACTTTATGCACTCGATTAACTTGGAGACGTTATAAGGATCGTAGTGTCTTAATGCAATCAACAGGTTTGGGATTTTTCTATTCTCGATTTTACGTATAGTATATTTACATTATTAAATTTTCACTGCACACACACACCACGCAATCAATAACATTGTTCTGGTAACAGTGACACAATGTTAGTCGAAGTCAAAGTTATTTGTTCTTATAGTCAATGTTATTGGTTCAAAGAATAATTAACAATGTACAAATAAGCTTTATGAGCCCGTAGGTTTCCCATTCCTGTACATATTGACTCTAAAATCTACTTACTTTTAATTCGTAGTCTGTCTTACAACGTTGTTCAAATTAAAAGAGGAGTGCTATTCAAAATCATGAATTTAAATATCAAGTTCATTACTATTAGTTAGTTAGTAGTTAGTTTATTAGTCATAAATAATAGATATCTACATACTTATATGTAATAGTATTAAACCGTGCCACGCTGCGCTATGGCGTATTGTTTTAATTACATTCATGAGAAACAAAACAGCTACGAAAAATAGATAAAATTTATCTTATAAGCGGGATGTGGGCATATCGCAAAATTAGAGTTCAATCGGTGCAACTTTTAGAGTTTTTAAAGCATACTACACAAACCAACTTAACATTTATACATATATATAATAAAACATATTTATTTGAAGAGAATGTTATGTACTACACAAAAGTAAGTAAGTGCACACTAAGTAAGTTCAATTAATTTCATAATGTCTATGAGTTACTTAATGTAATGAATGGGTGAACGAGTTTATCATCCAAAAACCCGCCGTTATAGAGTAAAAAGTAAAAGTATGTGATGAGTGTGATTAAGAAAACTTATATTTTGTGATTTTGATATGTTATCGTTATTTTTTGCGACGATACGGTGAGTAGGTAGTGTAGGTACTGACATTATTTGCTTAGTTTGAACGTATGTTCGTGAAGCTATATATAAACAACAACGTACGACTCGTATTAGGCAATTATACAACTTAAATTACAGTATACAGTCATTTGTAATCAGTGATCTATTACAAAATGAAGTGGATTTTGGTAAGTCAATTTATTGAAATAAATATATTTATGATCCCTTATCTAATGTTTTCATTATGTGTTTAATTAAGTAAAGTTAGAATAAAGTGTTAGGAAAAACATTAAAAAGCTATATAATTGATTCTAAAGACATAATGATTCGTGCGTGCGTGCATAATAAACTCAATAACACTTCCAAATTCATAGAATTTCACTAAAAAATTATACGTTCCGTTCGGTAAGAATCTGTGCTATCTGACAGCTGTTTGGACCTGACGCATACGAAGCGCCGTCTGGTGGCAGAAAAAATATCGAAAACCCTCATTGGTTCTACTCCCGTAGGAAACAACATCATACTACACAGTATGATATTGTTCTCTGTCAAATTTACATCTACATTGTATTAATTTACTTATGTAACTAGAAAAGTGTGCAGCTAAAATTGCAAGTCAAGATAGGACACATGTAAACATTATTAACTTTTGAATTGCTTGTCACTCTGACTTTGGGCCAGGATTTTGATTGTTTAGTTTAATTTGTAATAAATTTATAGTTTAATATAAATTTCCATAGATAGGAAATAACAAATCCAAATTTAAATTATTATGATATTTTGATGCCATACTTCAATAACTTTCTGCTACAACTTCTTTATCGTGTCAGGAATGAAAAATCTATATTTTCGTTTCATAAGGTGTTTTTTCTGTTCCAGATTTTGGTTTTGTCAGTTCTCGCGATAGCCATGGCGATACCCCAACGAGGTATGAACAATAGAATATCATAATGCTATTGTTATAAAAAGATTGAGTGAAGTTTTCCTTAATATTCACAAATTTGTCTATAGTCTAGCTAGAACCTAACATAATATTATTAAAAAATTATTGTTTTTAAACAAACGAATTTTTTTTCAAAAAAGAGCTTAAGTTTAGAGAGGTTCTAACTAAAACAATAACGAAATAGCAGTTAGCTATAAATCTCAAAACTATAAAACTTGGTTGATACTTTCTCTATTCCTTCCGAACTTTTTATTCAATTGCAATTAATTTAGCAAATTCTTTTTCATTTCAAGTTGTGCATGTCCTGGTGAGAATATTATTATTAAAAATTTGCCCTATATATATTTTATTCACCATTACTACATACTAGTGCATTTCAGTTTCATTACACAAAAGCACAGTTTCTTTAACGTAGGCATAGCGTAGCGTTAAACTAATTTGTTTTATTTTTACTTACATAACTAGTATCCTTTTACCAACTGTTCCAATAAATAATTTACTTGGTTAGAGCTATAGCGTTTTAAACATCTACCTATATCCAAATGCTTAAAATATCGAAGCAGAGGTAGGTATTATAGAATAAGTATAAGGTAAATTGTAAGCCAATCCCGCCATTTTTCCGTGTTGCCAGAGTTAAGCAACCAAATATTACTCAAAAACTAAAAATTCTATTCGATTCTTTATAAGAACTCCTAAACCTTACACTACCAAAATTAAAAGCATGTAGAATACTTATACATATAAATGAAAAGAAACGCTATAAAGAGTTTAATAATTGTATTGCTTTAATTTTAAATTTAAACTATACCTGTCTGTTATAAACATATTTTAAAGCATAGACTTTAGTAAAAACTTTTTTAAATTTTTAACTTCAAAATGGCTGATAACCACGAACAGTGAAACTCATTTTTTGGCGGCAAATCACAATAGGATGAAACACGATTTACTGAGCACCCATAAAAATAGATTGCGTGATTGTAGTATTTCTTTTGTGTTCAATCATTATATTACTAAATAATCATGGTTTTCTAATTCACGTAAAAATTTTAAATTTTTACGTGAATTAGATATTTCATTTTCGTTCGGCAAATCCTTAACTTTTTTCTGGAATAAAATAGAAAAAACCGACAGTAAACATGAAATTAATTTCAAATAAAATTTGTTCTTGCTTGGCAAAATTAATTACAGAGAAGTCATTAAAACTAAGTATTACATAAAGAATATTTTTTGTATAATTGTTAAATTACTTAAATGACACCTAAGGCCTATTTTAATAAAACATTATACCAACTCACCGCTCAAATGTTACACACAAAAATTTTACACATCCCAATTCTTTTTTCCGCCTCTCTGTGTTAGAAATGACGGAGATTGGTAATACAAAAGTAAGAGGCTTTTAAATGAAGACTGCTTTTACTTATTTTTCAGGATCCGGCAACGCCCGTCCTGATCGAGGTAAGCAGTCATTTCTAAATAATTCGTGTGACCTAGTCTTGGGTACCTAGGGTCATGGCACCGGTTTCCCGACCACCTGCATTAGGCGACCATTTGAAGGACTAAGTTCTTTTAAGTCAAGATAAAAGCATTTCTAGAAGTAACATAAACAAAAAATAAATCTTATGCGTTTTTTAAATAGTTATCAAATAAGTATTTACATAGTTTTAAACAAATGATTTATCCCAGCACCGAACAAAAAATGATCAATATGCGAGACGATTTAGTTTTGTCGTTTATTGATGTATAAAAACAAAAATAGTATTGCGCGAGGCGCCAAATGACAGGTTTAAGTACTTAGTATTTTACAGGCAAGTTCTGTGTTTAATTAGGGCAATCGTTAAGTTTTGAAGTTATTTAGTTACATTTCGCTATGGTTATGCATAATATTAAGATACATTTTGGTGGTCGGTTACCGAGGTGACAATATGTCAAAAACGTTGGATTGCGACCACATCGTCAATGGTAATGTTTTGAGTACGATCACGTGTATTTTACCTGTGTTATGTAAGTTAATATCTGTTTCATCATAATTTTAGCAAGTATCGATTTAGTCCTAATTTGACGAATGTTAAACTTTTCTGTTTATACCATTAGATTTAGGCATAAAAAGTAGACAATGTTTAAACTTCAATATTTATTTAAGATAAAGGTCTGAAAAAAGTTCGGAAACACAGAAAAAGAGGAAAAAGATGTCGCACTTAAACTAAATGTCATACGAATGTAGGGGAATAAGAGAAATAGGTAGGTATGATATAACTCGGACTAGAATTCAAGATCGACTCAAAGGGGTTCAGATCCTGTACTTGGTGTAAAAGGCAAAAAGCAGTTAAAGAGGGGCTTTTGGTTGACCATGGTATGAAGAATATCTTCAAAGTTCCCGAATAGACTGGCACAAACCTGGTTTTATCATCACTGAAATCTTCGTGGAAGTCGGTAGTCAGAAACTTTCTATCGAAACCAAAAAACGCAAATAATTTATATTATATTTTATTTGCAAAATACAAATAAATGTGACAAAAATTACCATATTATTTTTGGTTAACAGTAATTATTTTCATAATTATACTGAATATTATACCATATTTACTAAAAGGCAATATTAATAACATTTTAAAGTGAATTATAATTATTTTATTGGCTTCGGCTTCCCCCGGGTAACGATAGCTTTCCATTGGTAAAATAATTTTTAACATAGGTTTAAATACAAATATCACTTTAACAAAAATAAAATAATGAATGTTCGGGTATAACTCCTTACCACTTTTTAATACTAACAAAAAAGTACCAAAAACCTCAGTTTTTAGTACTTTTTTGTTAGTCAGTTTAAAGTCGGTTCACCTTTTTTTTTTGTAAAAAGGATTTATAGTTTTATTATTTAATCGTATACAATAACGCTGATTTCGTTAAATTTATTTTACTAAACTCTTTTACTTTTGATAATAAGTTACTTATTACTTAATTAACTATACCTGACTTTTCTATTCTTTCAGTCCTTGTCTCTAACAACAATGGAGGTAGGTTTTAATATTAACTACTTTATACATATTTATTTATAGATTCCTTTTGTTGGTCAGCACTAGTTTGTATTTATTTATCTTCTACGGGTATTGCCTAATTCAAGACTTAGTCGAGAAATTAGGATTAGGTTTAAGACGTGTTAGGACGAGTCAGCATATGTGTTCCGGACAGATACGTGTGGCGACGCCGCCGGCCGCCGCTGCTGGCTGTCCTGTGCGGGCGCACCAACCTGCAGAGAGAAGCACCGCTGATGCGCGCACTACGTACTCTGAATATAATTGCGGATGAAATAGATTTATTTTATTGCTCACTGAGTGAATTCACAATAACAGCATTAAGAATTATTTCTTATAATAAATAAGTAGATGGTATAACACTATTGCATTGGGCTAAACCTGTAATAATAGTTGTTTTTAAAGGAAATAAATAAATAAATATACCTGGCCTAGGCACCGGTGTGGACGATTGGATGTTATGTCGCTCCAACGTATAAGGAGGATACTCGCCCAGGAGGGGTGATCATACCTGGCAAGCAAGATCCACATTCATGTTGCTGGATGCTTTGTGGAATTAGTAACATAACAACGAGGTTACTACTAAGAAATACTGGTTAAACACCTAAAATTATACGTTTAATTTTTAACATGAAAGATCTTTACTAGACAAATACCAAATATATTTTTTTCACCCTCTGTATTAGGAGCGTACTACCGCCATAAAGAACTTTCACCAAATCATAATGTGCTAAAATCTACTTAATTGTTTTCTAGATTATTTTAAAAAAAAGATTGAAATAAATAAAAGGGTCAGACGAAACAAGAACATAAATGCATAGCAAATGTTTATTTTTATTTCTTAATTTCAAATGTTATGAGTGAGAATGAGTTTAAATGAATGTTAACTCATCCTTGAGTCCTCAAGAGAACCTTAGAGTACGATTTCTGTTTGATATATACCTATATACTAATATCTATATACTTCGGAAATGACTGAGATTGGTAATACAAAAGCATGATGCTTTCAAATAAAAACTGCTTTTACGTATTTTTCAGGATATGGCAACACCCGCCCTGATCGAGGTAAGTTGTCATTTACAAATATTTAAATAATTCGTGTGACCTTGTCTTGGGTAATAGATAGTTTTTATTTATAAAATTTAGTTTTCTTTTTGAATTATGTGCCGTATTTCGAGTATGTTTAATTGTGCGAATAGATAATATGGACACATTTCCTGTTTCTACCTGTTCCTTATTTTTGGATATGTCTAAAATATTTTTGTAGGTACTAGCTGTTGCCCGCGGCTCTAAAAAGGAGCCTATGTTACTCGCTGATAACGAGCTTTCCATATGTAAAAGAATTCTTAACATAGCTTTAGTGGTTTGGGCGTGAAAGCGTAACAAACAAACAAGCTTACTTTCACATTTATAAGTATGGAAGTATGGATATAATAAGAACCATAGTATGTTTAAGGCTGTAGTTATTAAATATTATGTAGTTCCTGATCTTTTATTACACAAATATCACTTTTTTTTTTAAATTTTGTATGTTCGGGTTTATCTCCTTACTACTTTTTTATACTACCAAAAAAGCACCAAAAACCTCAGTTTTTTGTTAGTCAGTTTAAAGTTGGTTCAACATTTTTTTTGTAAAAAGGATTAATAGTTTTATTATTTAATCGTAGACAATAACGCTGATTACGTTAAAATTATTATACTAACTTCTTTTCCTTTTGAAAATAAGTTACTTATTATTTTATATCTTATTTTTGTTATCGGGGTGGAAGATCCTCATGGATGTCCTTCGCCCATGGGGATGGCGAAGGGGTCTGTCGGACTGTTACCGACTAAAAACCACCCCGGTGTTCCTCTCCTTACCCCTAATGCCCTCCGGCGCTCGTTGCTCCTTCTGCGGGTAGAGACAGCGGTGCTGCGTTCTCTCTCCCGTCTTGCCGCTTCCTTTGCGGACATCATATGTTCCCAAAAGGAAGCGACGGTATTATTTTATAATTCATAATATTTAATTAACTATACCTGTCTTTATTGTTTCAGTACTTGTCGCTGACAACAATGGAGGTAGGTTTTATTATTAACTACTTTTTACAAATTTATTTTTCTTTCTAAATTTGTGTGTGGACGATTGGATGTTATGTCGCTCCAACGTATAAGGAGGATACTCGCCCGGGTGAGGTGATAATACCTGGCAAGTAGTGCTTCACAGTTGTTGCTTAACGCTATGCGGTATTAAAACATAACAGCGAGGTTAATACTCAGAGACACTAGTTACACATCTAAAAATTATACATTTAATTTTTGACATGAAAGATGATCTTTACTTGATAAATACTAAATCAATTTTTTTTCACTATGTGTATTAGTGAATCACTCACACTCGCTGAATCATAATAGGCTAAAATTGACTTAATTGTTTTCCAGATTATTTAAACAAAAAAATGTTCAAAAAATAAAAAGGTCAGACGAAATAAAAACTTAAATAATAGGGGTTAAAGTATGAAATTACCGTTGTACCTATAGTAATAGATACTTTGAATTGATACATGATACTTATGAGGTTCTTCTTTTATAAAATGTGCAACATTAGATTTTCGACTTTCAATAATTTTTTTATTCAGCTTAGACGTTACGATGGATACTTCGAAAACCCGAGTCCTTTTTTTGAATATGAGTTCCGACGCGGAACTAACGCGGCAGAAACGGCTCGCAATAACAACGCTGCGTTTGGAGAGAAGACTGCTAATTAACGCAGTTTTTGGTTTAAACGCTTTCGTAATGGAAACTTTGACTTGAAGAACGAACCGCGTGGAAGACCACACAGGTGAATATTGCTGAATTGAAGGAGATGGTGAAAGCCGATCAGAAAAACAAACCACACAGGAATCACCGGCATGGTTTTACATTACCCTGCCTACAATATTGACTCATTTGCATCAAATCAATAAGATAAACCAATATGAAACATGGGAGCCTCCGGATTTGACTGATTTGCTGAAAGAAATGCGTGATGAAACTTGTGTTGCCTTGTTGAATCAGTACAGAAATTAAGGTATATTAGATCGAATTCTGACATGTGACGAAAGGTGGATTGTTAACGAGAACCGTAAGCGAAAAATGCAATGGCTGACCCCAGGTCAAAACAGTGCCCTAAAACAAAGCTTACCAATCAGAGGTAATGGTAACCCAGTGAACACATGACCTCCGTATGATGTCATAGACAGATCATAGAATTATTACATAGATATTACATAAAAATGACTTTCTTTAAAACCTTAAAGTTTTGTCATATAGTATGACATCATCATGACACAGTGATGACCTAACATGTGACTTTTATATGACGTCATAATTGTGACTATTATGTCATAATTATGACGTCATCATATATTATGTCTTATCCCTATCATATGTCTGACGTTAGTTACTTAATTGTAAAAAACTTTTTTGTTTTTTTTATTAGAATGGATTTTTACTGCCTTAGCCTAAGCATCAAATCCAAAAATACCTTTAATAACTAGTGAAAAATTCTCTTTAATAAAATAATATAATAAATTTATTTATTTATTTATAAAGGGTCTACCAATAGGAATGACCTGGTTTTGACAGCTCATAGCGGCCATGTTTGATGATGGATTTTTGACGTCTCTTGACATTTGTGTTTAGTAAGGTTTGCCATTTTATCTTGTCACGTTTCACTTTAAACCAACGCTTGGAAATTGTATCTGTCGTGAATTTGGCGATTATGCACTGGAAATGATGGAAGCCAATGACGATTTTCATAGTAAAATCATCTTCTCAGATGAGGCCCATTTCTGGTTCAATAGATTTGTTAATAAACATAATTGTCGCTATTGGAGTAAGTCAAATCCACGTGTGGTTCATGAATCACCATTGCATCCGCAAAAAATAACAGTTTGGTGCGGTTTATGGTACGGTGGAATCATTGGTCCGTACTTCTTTGAAAGTGACGAAGGAAACCCTGTTACTGTAAATGGCGAGCGCTATAACTCGATGTTAACCGAATATTTCTTTCCGGCATTTGATGATATTGATGCAGACGACCTTTATTTTCAACAAGACGGTGCACCACCTCACATTGCTCGAGTGAACATTGAATTATTGCGTGGAAAGTTTGGTGAGTTGTTAATTTCGAGAAATGGACCGATCAGTTGGCCACCAAGATCGTGTGATTTAACACCTTTAGACTATTTTCTTTGAGGTTACGTTAAATCTAAAGTGTACAGCAATAATCTAGCCACAATTCGTGACCTAAAAACCAACATTCGACGAGGCATAGCCGCCATACCGGTCGAAATGGTGCACAGCGTCATCGAAAATTGACTTGAGCGGGTGACCGTCTGCAAAAAGAACCGCGGCGGTCATTTGGCCAATATATTATTTAATACATAAATTGCATAAGATTATCTATCAAATAAATCAATCGGATGCATTTTTCATAAAAAAATTGTGTGTTTTATTCAATTTTTAAACCAGGACGTTCTTATTGGTAGACATCATATTCATATCAACGCGATCTAACGCCTTTGCAAAATGTCTGTGAAATAGAGTTGACACAATTGAGACAGTTGGCAACAAAACCATGCTGTCTTGGACTAATTATGTGTTGTAAATGAGAATACACATTTATATTCTTATTAAAATATTATCAAAGAAGAAGATATTGTAGTTCCGTGATAATTAAACGAAAATGTTCAGACGTAAACATCTAATCTAAAAAAATGCAGCATCCCATACAGGTCCCGTTGGTAAATTATTGTCACTGAAAGTGTTTTTGGAGGTCAACGTCTTGCAAATTAAAGGAAAAAGTATCCTAAGCCTGATAGTCTCAAGGCATATTTTTCTTAAACCATTTAAAAATAAAATTTTGTGTTTGAGTGTTTGATATATAAAACTTAAATTATAATTACTGTTGAATAAGCTATAAATAATTCATTTTCAAACCGAATAACTAAGAGTGGTTATTACCTCGATAAATGGCGTGCTACCATTTTTTGGGTCGCGATCTGGTTTCGTTACTCATGCAGGTTTATTGCGGCGTTCTTATAACTTCATGTAAACTCTGGTTTCCATTCATAACGTATAGGTACTCGTATTTCGCCGTTTACTAAAGAAATCCTTTGAGGGGAACACTTAAATGAGTCTTCTGTATTTTCTATGATGTCAATATTTATGTTATCTAACTTACGTAAGAATCTTACGTCAGGAAGTGGGAAATTATGGATCATATATGACTTATATCTTGACAAAACATGACATGGCATGACGTCATTCTGACATTAGTTCCACATAATTGTGTTCACTTGGAACTGTTCGGTGGTCTCATCATGGTGTTATTCACTATAGCTTTCTCAGGTCTGGTCAGGCAATAGCAGCAGATGTTTACTGTGCCGAACTTCGAACAGTGATGGCGAAACTGGCAGTGAAACAGCCCCGACTCATGAATCGATCTTCACCATTAATGCTCCATGATAACGCAAGACCTCACACTACACGAGAAACCGTTGTAACTCTACATCAGCTGCAGTTAGAAACAATAATTCATTTTCCGTACTTACCAGACCTTGCTCCAACGGACTACCACTTCTTTCGTGATTTTGATAATTTTCAACGATAAAATAAAACTGTTTTCTTCCCAGGAGGCAGTACAAAATGCTTTCACACAATTTGTCGAATCTAGATCCCCAGAGTTCTATCGTAAAGGTATAAAATAACTTCCGTTCAGAGGGCAGCAATGTATAAATAATATAAATAAAATAATAAGGATAAATATTTTGATTAAATGAATATTTTACATCTTAGAAAAAAACGAATTTCAATTTTTCAGTACAAGCCGGCCAATTTTATACTTTAATACTTACTTACTTACTTAATAATGAGGTTTCTTACAAAAATTGGTTACACATTTTAGGACGCCAGCAAATATTTATTTTTATTTCTTAACTTCAAATGTGATGAGTGAGAATGAATTTAAATGAATGTTAACTCATCCTCAAGAGAACCTTGGAGTACCATTTCTGTTTGATATATACCTATATACTAATATCTAT